TTTGATTATTAAAATAATTGATAATTGTAATTATTAGTTTTTTTTGTGAGAAAGCAAATATCATTAATCATAATTAGGATTACAACAGGTGTAACTTTTAGTTAATAAATGACAAAACTACTAATATTTATTATTTAATAAATTAAAATTAATTTATAAACTAATATTTTTAAATATTATAACTAGCTATTTATTAAAAAAAATAACAACTTATGTGTGGCCATGACATTTTTCAACGTTGCCACAACCATTAATTAACTACATATATCTTTTGCGAACATATAAACCACAATGCAAAACTAATAAAGAGGAACAACAACATTGTTTTATTAGTATATATTTGATTATAAGAATATTCATATCATGGTTAAATACAATATTCATATTTCAAGATAAAGGAGAATCTATTTATATATAAGTTTTATATATCATATTTATATAGTATTTCAATCATTCATCTTTTTACTATTAATGAATGATTGAGATTTATTATAATTTTTTAGATGAAAAAGATAATTATTTTTAGAAAATATAAATAAATCTCAACAATTAAAAATAAAAAAATAAATTATTGAAATTTTGTATAAATATAATATATAATACTTGTATATAAATAAATCCTTTCTATATATATGATCACATAAATTACAAATGAAATAATTTAACATACTAATTCATGGATGACACACCCGATGACATGGGGATGGTAAGATACAAGGCAAAAAAGCATGCAGCAGGCGCTTGCGGAGAATGCACTAGCTAGCTTTGTATATTATTGAGGAAATGATTGGTAAACATTTGGTTTGACACACTTTCTAACATATTTTCAGTCTATCTATTAAAAATATACTATAAATACAATTGATTCAGTCAGTTTCTACATCCTGTGTGTATGATTATATATTTAAACTTGTTTGCCTTTAATTTTAAATCAAAAAATATTAATTTTTTAATGAATGTATTGTGTAATGTGTTAAATCGAGTGTGTATCAATCATTGTTTATTGATTATTAAGTAGAAGTTTCATTATGCTGTAGAAGAAAATCCAAATTACATTCAAATACCATCATAGGTTGAGGCTAATTAAGGATAAGGACGAGACTAACCATATGTTTGGGTGGAGAGGAATGGAGGGGAGGGAGGAGGGGAAGATTTTTTAACCAATTAAATTACCCCTCTCAAACTCAGCCTTAGTCTTAAGTATGTTTAAATTGAAGGGGATTGAGGGAAGGAGAAGGGAAGATTTTTTAACTAATCAAATTATAATTTTTTTAAATGTTATAATTTAATTGGTTAAAATACTTTTAAACGTTATAATTTGACTGGTTAAAAAATCTTTCCCTCATTTCCCCTCTCCTTCTCTTCATTCCTCTCAACCCAAATATACTTAAGACTAAGGTTGAGTTTGAGGGTAAGACTAAGAACGAAGCAGGAACAGGATGAGGCTAAGCCAACTAACTAGGGGTCTGGGGATGAGTTTGAACCATATGACTTTGAGTTTGAGATTGAAACAAAGTTGACTGATTAAGAGTAGAGCGTGAGACTGGGGCTGAGTTTGAGGATGATGAGGTTGAGTCTGAGGATGATGAAGGTGAGGTACCTATGATAGTTGATTATGAAGGTGAGGTGCTTGTGACATCTGTTTGTGCACAAGTGTTAAAAAAAAAAAAAAAGGTGACCAAGAAGAGCAAGAGCAAGAGCAAGAGCAGGCGCACATACTTGTTCAACAAACTCATTTTCTCTACTGTGAATATTGATGACTGTTTTTGTTTGCAATTCATTGATGCTTTGGTTGATGCATTGAAACCCTATTTCATAGAGAGATACCTAGGAAGAGGTTTATTTTTTTTGCCAATAGCGTACAACCTAGCTAGGAGGATGTTTGGTTTCAATTGTTAGAGAATATGAACATATGAGTGGAATTGGGTTGAGTGATGTGTAAAAATTTCATATTGATGAGAACTTAAATGTTAGAGTACAATATATATGTGAAGGGTCATGAACTTAGTAGACATATTTTTTGAATTTAATATGATATCTTCTTATATGTATTCAACTATTCATATTCTCGCACTCGTGCACTTCTAAATAGTCCCATTAGACTATCCCATCTTTAATATCAAATGTCTACAACGGGACAAGGGGAGGATGGGTTGTCAAACTATTAGAAAAAAAAAAAATACACACATTCTTTTTTAACTAATTAAATGCTACTCAATTGATCAATCTTTTTAAGTTAAAGCCTTTTTTTTATTTCACAAATATAACATCTGTCTTCATCTAAATGGATATCTGGCATTTTTTTTTTATGGGAATCTAACTAGGGCATTTTTTTAATGGCAATATCTTACCGGCTAGCTTGAAACTGTACTGGTATTCTTATACATCATCGATTTAAATTTGTAAAAATTTTAATGCTTTTAATGGAGTATGTATACCATAATTCCATTTCTATCGTGCAATGCATATATTAATAATTTTAAAAGGGAATAATAATTTACTCACAATAATATCTCTTTATTTGAATGAGTTTCAATAAAAGAAATTTTTTTTTATAATTTCTTTGAATTTTTAAATCTCTCCAAACTAGTTTAAAAATTATAAGTTAAGAGTTTTTATTTAGAATTTTATTTTTTATTTTTTTAAATACATCAAGACTAAAAATTAAATTATAATTTTTTCGGTGATAATTAAAAATTAAAAAAATTATTATGCGATCTCACTTAGATTAGAATGCACAACAAAAACCTTTAGTCGGGAAGTGAATCTCCGCCATCTAGCCATTTCATTTTTAATGTTCGAGCTGTGTAAAAGAGGTGACTCACAAACAAAATATCATGAAAGATGACATTTTGCCAATCAAGACGTTAGAAAGGAAGAAGGTACAATTCAGCCCTTATACTTACAATGTTGTGGTAAGTCATCCCCTATACTTTAAATCATGGCAAATCAGCCCCTTTACTTCACGAAATCCTCAAAACAACCCTTTTAGTAAAGATGACATCATCCAATTGTTAAACCATTCCACTGCTGATTAAAGTTTGATGAGTTGGTGCTAATTGGGCAGCCACATGGACCAAATTCACTCAACTTTGCTCAAAACATTATGAGCAGTAATATGATGATAAATTTTTTGTATAATTTTTTTATATAAGTTTTATATGTTATTAAATAATTGGACATATTCAATATCATGAATCCAAAATGAATAAAAAAAACTAATTATTTAAATGACATATAAAATTATACTAAAAAATGATACAAAAAATTATCCCTAAGTAAATTTTTAAACATTACATTACCATGCCAGATGTTTAAGTCTAGTAAATTTGGCTCATGTCATTGCCCAATCGGCACCAATTCATCAACTTGAACCGGAAATAGAATGGTTTAACGATTGAATGACACTATCTTTACTAAAACAACTGTTTTGAAGATTTTGTGAAGTAAAGGGACTCATTTGCCATGGTTTAAAGTTAAAAGTGAAAGGGCTGACTTACCACAATATTACAAGTATAGGGGCTGAATTGCACCTACTGCCCATTAGAAATTATAGTCTTGGAGATTTTGAACCACAAGATGAGTGGGATCCACCCAATGGGTAATTTTTTTTTTCTAAACTAGCATAATTAGAAGATGAAAAATAAAATTGTCAAGATTTAAATTTTAAACTTATAGATGCCATCACTATTTTCAAAACAACTGTAAACATGATGTCAAAATATATAGTGATTGGCACCCGATAGGCATTTGAGTCCCATGATTCTCAATATGCCGCTTCCTGCATTGGCATATCATAATCCTATCACAATTGTGATTTACTCTACTTTACTCGTTAGTTAACAAACTTTATTTGATTAAATAATCGAATTCATAGAAGTTTTTTCCTTTTTCTTTTAGAAGCGTCCTGCTAGTATTGATAAAAGACATGAAATTTCTTGCAGATTGCTTCGTTTGTCACAAAAGGATTTAGGAGGGAGAGACCGACGGAATGATCAAGCAATCAAAGATATTTCTGTTTTCAAGGTTTAGACTCTAGAATTTAGTTGGGCTTAGTTACCACTATGTAAGAATGGTGGGCGACCTTTTACCAAGATTAGGGTCTAGTTACTTTACAATTGGGCTTATCATCGCACCCTCATCAAAAAGCCGCCAGCCTTTCTATTTTTTTTATCCAAAGTGCGCTCTGCATAGATTTTTTTAACATGGTTAATTCGGGGGTAAGAGGAAGGGGAGGGGGTGTAGATTGAACCCCACGCTTTTGGATGAGTAGTGCTTTAATGATGTTGAGGTGACCACTTGAATCACCTCGAGCTTCTCGTTCTGCTCAAGCTTTTCATTCTGCAGAGAGTGAATCTTTA